AATCGGTGTCCAAGTCGTCATCAGAGTCAGATATCTCACGTGGTCTGCTCGATCTTCGTTTGTACCTGTACTACGCATGACGGTCTTCATTCTTCTAGGTACGCTTTTAGGGATCGCATCTTTCGATTCCGGCTCCTTCTGCTCTTTCTGGATGGCTACTATGACTTCTGTCCATGGTGGGTCGCTTGTCTCGGTGATTTCTCCGGTCGATGCCCCAGCCATGGGGTCTGGAACCATACTTTGCTCTTTCGCAGCTGTACCTTTTACGATGACCTCTTGTGCATACTGCATCAAGGTGGCTTCGGTCTGAGTGTGTCGCCACGGTGGACCAGTTTGCGACAAACGTTGCAACTTTTTGACCATCTGCACGAGTTCGGCAACATCATCTCGAAGCGTTCGCTCAACACCAGAAGGTACAAAATGTGCAAGTACACTGTAGTCTGGTTCAGCGACGTTCAAAAGCTTCTTTCACTACGAAACTCACGTTTGAATCAATAGCAGCGTAGTACGCAAGTTATCACTGTGTCTACGAACACTATTCTCCATCTCTTCTATCTTATCTTCGTTTTTTCCTAGCTGTCCTGGCTGGGATACGAGACTAGAATCCTCCCTCTTCTCTACCCTGAACCCCTTTTCAAATGATTCCAGCTCCTGTATCGTTTGACTCGTCTCGTGTATCTGGGTTGCAAGAGAAGCCCATATTCTTCCGTCGCCATCGTAGGGTGGAGGCGAGCCTGTCTCGGTATTGTTCGCAATCTCTTGCAGTTTGAGATGGATCTGGTAACACTCATTGCCGAGCAATCCAACCTCGCCTGTGAGATTCAGTAGAGCCGCATGGCCGGGTTTGGCGTCCGAAATGAGGTTAGAGAGCGAGATAGATAGTCTCCAGGCTACCTTACTCAGAGCCAGGATGGCAGCCGATGTGTTTACAGGTGTGGACATAGCGGATACAGCACTGCGGGTGAGTGGATGTCAAGGTCGAAGCGCACGGTAGAATGTGCAAGGTCGGGCAGTGCCATGCGCAAGATACGGGGCGTCAATGGATTGGCGTCGACACAATACTGCAGTCAGCGCTTACGCCACACCATTATTGCTGTTGTGAATCAGTACGAGGACCACTTGCCGTACAAACACAGCTGCGCCCGGTGCAGAACGATTGACCGCTGCACATGCTGCGAAAGTATTGATTGCTATATGACTGCAGTCGCACTGCATCACCACCTCTCTGTCTGTACGGTAATCCCTCGCAAGATAACGGGCAAAGGGTAAGATGCCTTGCGTTGATTGGCCTCACATGTTTCACAAGATGCAAACCGATCACATCCTTCCAGGGAGAAGGGTTCCCCGCAAGAAAGTACCAATTTCACGTGAGCACTTCGCGATGCTCCGAGCTACACGTGGTAGCAATGTTGAGTTCTGGCCCCATTGCCGGGCTTGGATAAGCTCACCCTCGGAACTGCGCCTTGAACCTGACTACCTCTGGGGCGAACATCTAAAAATGCAAGGTGTGCGTCTCGACTGTCCAAGTCGCGCCACACGCTTATGCAAGGAGACGTCCTGCAGTGCCATATTACGCGATGAGAGCAGGGCTTCAAAGATCATGTTCAAAGTCCAGCCTCGTAGGTACAATCTTCTTTTCATCGCCAGAAGGTAGCAAAAAGTCGGTTTCAAGGATAGTATGTGATTGTTGAGGTCATGAGTAATCGAATGATACCAAATTCGAGTATGTAAGGAACTCGTGGGCGTACAACATGAAATAGGGTCAGGTAGCACAGCGGTGAGAACCAAGACCCCAAAACCAGGCAGTGCGATGATAACCATGTGGGCTGACATCCCTCGCCGCATTTAGGTGATGCAGTTAAGGAGGTCTCATTGTATTAAGGAGATTACATGATTGCACCCTGTCTGTCTTGTTCGTCTCGTCTTTTCATAGCGGCTACGATAGCTTCTACCCTCTAGTTGCATCAGAGAACTTTTTTACAACACCCGATTAAAATTTGAAACATACATAGTTATCCAGCAGTTGCGCAACCATCAGGATCGATGACGAAAGCCGACAGAACATGGGCGACGGCGCAAACGCCAGTTCCACCCAACGAGCATGCCGGTGTCGAAAGACCAACAGGATGGAAGTACAAGAAATTGAAAATCGGGCCGGTCACTCTCCCATGTTATGCGTCGCCAGAGTCGCAGTTGGTCTTGGTCTCATTCGTCTGCTTCCTCTGTCCTGGTAAGTTCAGTTATCGCAACATGTTTTCGGCTCATTAACATACCCAGGCATGTTCAACGCTGTCAACGGGATAGGAGCCGCAGGTATCGACGATGATGGAAAAGCTAGCAACGCCGCCAACACTACGCTTTACGCTACCTTTGCCGTCGTCGGCTTCTTTGCTGGTACCATCACCAATGTCCTGGGTATCCGCATTGCGCTCTCGTTTGGAGGTCTCGGTTACTGCGTATACGTCAGTTCATATCTGTGTTTTAATATCACTCACAATCTCGGCTATGTAGTCTTCTCAGGCTTCTTGCTCGGATGCTGTGCCGGAATTCTTTGGGCTGCGCAAGGCGCGATCATGATGAGTTATCCATCTGAGAAGCTCAAGGGGAGGTATATTTCTTGGTTCTGGATCATTTTCAATATGGGTGCTGTTATAGGGGCCCTGGTGAGCATAGCTCCTCCAGATGTGAACAAGTGTTGGAACTAACCCTGTTGTCAGGTTCAACTCGGCCTGAACTTCGACAATACAGGTGATGAAAAAGCAGCAGCCGTCACCAACGGGACGTATATCGGTTTCATGATCCTTACTTTCCTGGGCGCGTGCCTTTCTTGGACACTCATCGATGCCAAACACGTTGTTCGTAGTGACGGCTCCAGGATCATCCTTATGAAGCATCCAACCTGGCAATCTGAGATTATTGGCCTTTGGCAAACACTGCGCACGGATCCATACATCATCCTTATGTTCCCCATGTTCTTCGCCTCAAACTGGTTCTATACGTACCAATTCAACGACGTAAACTATGCGCGATTCACTGTGCGGACCCGCGCTCTCAACAACGCGATATACTGGCTAGCTCAGATACTGGGCGCGGGCGTGTTCGGGTTCGCACTAGACTTCCACAATATCAGGAGAACTACAAGAGCGAAGTGTGCTTGGTTGGTCATGTTCTTGCTCACGTTTGGCGTATGGGGCGGCGGCTATGCGTTTCAAAGACAGTACACCCGCGACGATGCGTCTCCGATATATGACTGGAAAGATGGGGGATATGGAGGACCGATGGTTCTGTACCTAGCCTATGGCTTCTACGACGCTGCATGGCAAACATGTGTATATTGGTATGTGTCTACCCCCATTCTCTCACCCCACCATCCCCTTGCTAACCCTAACCCAGGTTCATGGGCGCCATCTCAAACAACAGTCGCAAACTCGCAAACTTTGCCGGCTTCTACAAGGGCATTCAATCAGCAGGCGCAGCTATAGTATTCCGACTCGACGGCTACAAGAGGCCTTATATGGATATCCTCTTATCCAGTTGGATACTACTAGCAGGCAGCTTGGTCGTCGCGCTGCCAGTCATGCTCCTCAAAATCAAGGACACAGTACCGATTGAAGAAGACTTGCGCTTCACAGACGAGACGATTGAAGACGTCCTAGGCACGCGAGAAACGTATCTGCTCGGTGGGCCGGAGAAAGCATAGATTTCTGCGCACGGTATTGAGCTAGCTGTCTTGGTTGGCGCCCGGCGACGTATTACTAGTGTTATGCAGGAACAACAAATTTAATGGTGCATCATACAAACTTGCAGTATCTTGTTTCCCTTCCCGCTTCAGTCTCGGTGATTGCATTGTCAAAGTGTTCGCCGGAGCGACCACCTCCGAGTGGTGCCATGTGGTATATTCGGTACGATAGGTATAGCCGGCCTTTATATCGAAGTACGTGCTTTCGTAGGCGAGGACCACTTATTAACAATGCTTGTCGCATTTAGCAGCCAATCGCTGCGCAGCTGACTGTTCAATATTGGATCCGGGTGCGGGTCTAGAAATGTTCTTGACGTCGGTCACCCTTCATGATGACATGTCCGTAGCCAAATCCAAAATGAGCCCCGCTTGCTGAGCTGATACACAAAGGAAGAATTGTCTCTTCGGGGGATAAGGGTCCTAAGTTTTGACATGTGAAGTTTTGGCGTTTTTTTGCGGGGTTTGTTGCGTACCTAGGTAGTTGGTGTGGAAAGAAAGTTTCTGGTGAGCAACGCAAAGAGCAAGATGCCGAATTTGGCCACCCTCGTTGTATTTGCGCGGTGTGAAAAGGTGATGACGGCGGCAGTGGGTATTTAAGAACTGGGATTCCTCTGTTGGTTTCTCTGTAATGTGCTATGTACTCTTTTCCTTTTCTTTGAATACTACGTTATACTTCTTGTGGTGGTTATCTTACTTTCTTGCTGTGGTCAGACGGATACGCGATGGCTATGAGGTCAGAAGGAGATCTTACTACTACGACGGCAACACCCGAGACGCAATCGCAATTTGAGCTTGAGTCTAGGGACCGATGGAGTGAGGAACGGGAATTTGAGTCGTTACTTCCACCATGTGATGGAGGCAAAGATGCATGGAGTTTCCTCGCTGCGGCGTTTGTGATTGAGATTATGGTTTGGGGTATGTTTCTTCTATTCAGACCAACTTCACCTTTGACTAACTTTCCCCAGGCTTCCCTTGGTCCTATGGTATCTTTCAAGAGTACTATAGTACCACGCTTCCCTTCTCCGGCGCGTCTGGTATCCCTGCCATTGGTACTTCCGCAATGGGTATCCTTTACATGGTGGCGCCTTTCACTTTTGGCTCCCTGATTCGCTGGCCTCGGTACAGACGACACGCTATGATCGTTGGACTTCTCATCATGTGTCTCTCCCTGGGATTGAGCTCAATCTGTCAAACGGTCCCCCAACTCATCGTCACTCAAGGCATCTTCTACGGAATCGGTGGCGCAGTGACATACAGTCCAGTCGTCACATTCCTCGACGAATGGTTCGTTCACAAGAAAGGGCTCGCATTCGGCATCATGTGGGCCGGCACAGGACTCGGTGGTGTAGTTGTCCCGCTGTTACTTCAATGGTTGCTAGACACATACGGCTTCCGCACCAGTTTACGTATCTGGACACTCGCCCTCTTCCTCATCACACTCCCATTAACATTCTTTCTGAAACCACGGCTACCCGTTCCAGCAACCAATCGCGCACGCATAACCTTCACATTTCTGCGCAACAAGACCTTTTGGATCCTACAAGCCGGAAATGTAATGCAAGGACTTGGATTCTTTGTTCCATCAATTTACCTACCCACCTACACAAAAAGTCTCGGCTTCAACAACACAATCTCTACTTTGCCCATCATTCTTATCAATATCGCCGCTGTTATCGGATCCATCAGTATGGGCACCATCGTCGATCGTACACATGTCACGACCGCGATCCTCATCTCCACCGTCGGCGCAATGTTATCTATATTCCTCATCTGGGGCTTCAGTACCTCATTGCCGCCACTGCTCGCTTTCTGCTTCATGTACGGCCTTTTTGCCGGTAGCTTCACGAATACATGGCCGGGAATCCTGCGGACGGTACAAAGGAGTACAGGGCAGATGGAGAGTTCGATGGTGTATTCTTTCCTGTCGCTGGGGAGGGGTGTTGGGAATGTGGTTTCGGGACCGGTGAGTGAGGCACTCATGAAGACGGGTAACGTAGGTGGAATGGGGCTGTATGGAACGCAGTATGGAAGTTTGGTGATTTGGACCGGGATTAGTGCTGCACTTGGGGGTATTAGTATCATTGGTAGGAGAGTTGGATGGCTGTAAGAGCATTCATGGGGCATGTTTGAGAATTAGTGAAGTGCAGGAGTCGGTAAGATAGTGGTACATACCGGTACTATACACAATTGGGACTTCTAGTTTTCTTCAAGTGGAGTTTATTAGTATGATACACGAGTTCGAGTGCTTATCTTCCTTGAGTGGAGAGATATGCCCAGCAATCCCTCCCCCAATCACTCCAGTTTCACACAACGTCATCGAACCATGGATGTGCCAGCGCCTCTTCAGCCGTAATTCGTAGTCTAGGGTCCATTCTCATCATGCGTTCGGTGATATCTACGAACTCATCATCGAGAGGCTCGTTAAACAGGCAATTTCTGAATGGCCGTCTCAGGCTGTCCTTGCTGAAGCTTTTGACTATAGTGAAGAAGGAAAACGCCCAAGGGTTCTCTTTCTCATCTAGACACTTAATAATTGAGAAGATACCTTCATCGGCAAAGAACGAGATCTGTCGTTGGGGAACATTGAATGTGAGTGCTTCAATATCTTTCTCATCGTCTGTGTCGTGGGAAAGAATCATCATTTTCGTCATGCCGGCGATACATTGCAAGTACATCTTAGCTGAGAAAGAATATCCAGATGAAGCGAAGCTTACAACCAAGCCGAACGAAAACATATCAATTGGTGTTTGTGCTCTTACAGAGGCCCACGCTTCCGGACTGAAGCAGTTTTTCAACAACGTATTTGCGACCTGACTGGCCAGCCACTCTTGTCAACGCTGCAGCTCGTGTAATGGCTTTGGCGGCCATTTTATGAGCTATCAATATTGTAATACCGGAACCTTCAGTTACCCAGATACAGAGTGGTCAAACATTTGACGGTGGAAGATACCGATCAACCAATGGGGGAGAAGATTCAGTTCAATAAGATACCTAGATATGGCTGTATTCAGTATGTAACAGAAGAACAGTAAGGACTTCAATGGAGAGTAAAGTGACAGCGCATAGTGCGAGAGGTTAGGATATCTCGCGTCTAACCAACGCAGAGAGTGGGACTTTGGGTGCTTAAGCGCGCGGCACATCAGCTTGGCACAAACCCAATTTGCGGGCGAAAGGCGGAGTAACAACAGATCCCATGTTCAAGGTCACCACATGTCCTGATCAAAGCACATAAGGTCTTTTGGTGTCTCAAATGTAGCAAAGAGCGCTCTTTAGAGACTACAACCCAGACTTGTCATCAATCAAACCAATCAATCATGAAGCTCGAGATTGGTTTGATTGACGTTTTTTTGTGAAGTCTTAATTGATTGATTGATTTGATAGCTCAAGAAAACTAGTTGATTGACGATTGATTGACTGATTGATGGTGTATAAGTTATTACCTAATTGGGTTAGACTATGTCGTCAACAGTGAGATCAGAGTTGCTATCAGTCAGTTCAGTCAGTCCGGAGCTCTCTGGACTGACTGAACTGACGTCCTGAGGTCACTGAACTGGACTGGACTGACTGCCAAGACTTTTCAATTAAACTAAAACTGACTGACTGAACTGACGTCGCCGCGGCCTGCGGACTGACTGGACTGACTGAACTGAGTTACCTGACGTCGAACTGAGATAAATGCTCCTGTACTTTTGAGATTTCTTCCTCTGATAGTGTGCGCGCTAGCCCAGAAGCTGAGGTAGTTGTTGGCTGTATACCAAGCCTCTTCCAGCTCTTCAAGCTCTGCAAAGCTGAAATAAGCTCTGGCTTCATATGGAGTCTCCGGGTGCCTAACATGTCGCCAAGCTCGCTGAAAGTCCGCTCACAGTCTGCCGCTGCTGCTGGTATTGTTAGGACGTCAATAGCGAACTTTGAGAGTATAGGGAACTGCCCAGCAACTGACTCCCAGTATAGAAGCGGATTAAGAGACAGCCAATCCTCCTCAGCTAACGCTGGTTGCCGCTTCCATATCTCATACTCATCCTCAGCAAGGCTTGCCTCTAACTGCCGTGTGCTTTGCTCAATTGACGACTGTAGAAAAGCTGATCGCGACGTTGAAATCCCTAGCCGGGGCTTCTTACGCGGCGGCGTTACAGTGTGAGCTGAAGTGGCTGCAGAGTCCTTCCGCCCCTGCCACATGCGCAGGAATGCCCGGTGGTTATTGTCAAGCCAGCCGTCGCGATAGTGGACACCGTCACGGGCAGTGACATGGGTGTCAGGCACCTTCCAGAGCGCTGAGAGGTGGTGTTTGTAGTGCGGGTGTAGTATTGTAGCAGTGTAGTAGACAGGCGCGTTATCGAATTTTGCGTAGTACTCAGCAAGCTTACAATGCGCAAGGTTAACGTTTGTAATAAGATGATCTTCAGGCGCATCTAGATCTTCGTAATTTACATCCTTAAGGCGGTCTTTGAGAGCCTCAAGCTGGTCAAGAAGCCACTCAAACGTTACTAGAACTTCCCATATAGCGCCGTGTCGGCCGTGTCGGCCGCGACCTTCAAGTAGCCGTGTAGCTTCGGCAAATGGCTCAAGGAGTCGAATGTATTCTGTTATTGTCGCCCAGTCCTTGCCGTTTAGACCCCCTTCGCGTATATATAACCGTGGCTGGGCAGCAGGGAGCTGCTCACGATTCTTCCGGCGTCGTGAGGTTGCTGTTGCAGCACTATGCTCCTCAAGTTTACACTCAATATAGCCATCGATAGGGCCGTGTAGCTCAGCTGCACGGACAAACGTGTTGAAATAGCTATTCCAGCGTGTCTTAACAGGCTTCACAAGCTGCCGGATGTGGGGTGTAACACCTAGAGACTCTGCCTCCTCGCACTGTAGGCGCTCTAGTAGTTGTCGAGTTTGAGGCGTACAGATAGACGCAATCACGTCAAAGAGGACGCCAACAGGACCGTATTTGCGCCACTCATCCATGTACTTCTCCTCTTCCTCAAGGTGTGCGGCTTCATTCTCGTACGCGCTACGGTCTTTGCCCCAAATTACTAATTGTGCGCTTAGGTTGAGTATATGGCAGCAGCACCGCAGCCGCCGCTCGCTTGCGATAAAGCCAAACTCCTCTGCTAAGGACTCAACTGCAGTATCATTGTTACTTGCGTTGTCAAGCACAAAGTACCCAACCCTCGCGTTGTCAACGCCAAATAGCCGAAGTATTGTTGTTGCTGCAGCGGCAATATTATTGCCAGTGTGCGCCCCGTGTAGCTCAGGCAACCCAAGCAGGTGGTCAACTAGCTTGCCCTCGCTGTTAAGGTAATGTACGCAGAGGCCAGTAAAAGCATACTGCCCACCAGTTGAAGTCCAGTTGTCGAATGACACGTGTATAAGCGACCGGGCTTCGCGAAGGTAGTTGGCAACAGCTGGTATGTATGTATTGTACTCAGTAATAATATGATCGTGGAGCGTTTGGTGGCTACGCCAAAGGAGAGCTTCGGCTAGCGGGCTCACGGCCGCAATCATGGCTCGAAACTGCGGCGTTTCTATTACGCGAAGGCTCTGGTTGTCCGCGACTACCCAGTCCTTCAGCGCGTCCTGAAATCGAGAGGTTGAAAAGCTTGCTGCCATCTCGTTTGCTACCTCTTGCGATACTTCTATCCCTTTAGACCTCATAATATGTACTTGGGACTTTGCGAGCGCGCCCATAATATTGCCCTCCCGGCTAGCAATTGGTACAGGTCCGTTAGGTCCGTGTGAGTGTCCAGGCTTGTTGCTTGAGAGGTGTCGGCCGGCGTTTGTAGTGCTGTCAGCCTCGTAGCAAGCCTCCTGCTTCCGTCGTTGATGGCAGTACCGGCAAAGCCAGTAGTTTTTCTTGTACTTGCGGTGCCAGACGGCCCAGCCGTGGCGGTAGATCCAGCTTTTTGGCCCACCGCGACTATTACGCTCAACCTGGCGCCGCTCAAGATACGGCACACGCTTAAAATCAAGCCCGTCGTAATTGTCGTCGTCGTCGTCGTCGTCGCCGTCGTTGGGGAAGTCCGCCTGTACTGCCAAGGGCTCATCAGCCTGGGCCTCGCTCGCAGTATCGCCAACAGTAGGCGCGTTTGATAGCGATGGTAGAGGAGAATTGCGCTTGTCGCATTCTACAAGGCGGCGAAGGCCTGAATTAGAGGGAGTAGACATGAAGTACACCAAGAAGTATTATGGCAACAGTAGTCTAGCGTCGTGTGTATAGCAGACGCGACGCGACGCGACGCGAAAGGCTTACTAGGTGCGCACCGGGTAGCGCATTTCCGCAAACTCTAATTAGCTTAAAGCTAGATGCTTTAACTTATATAGGATTAGTGTCTTTATATCTAGGACTAGCGCGGCTTCGAAGCCGCACTAAATGTGGCTTTCACAACTCTAAAATACTGCTTTAAAAACAGCTAACGTCAGTCTAACGTCAGTCAGTTCAGTCAGTCTGGAGGCTTCTGAACTGACTGGACTGACGTCCAGCTGCCTCAAGAACTGACTGACTGAACTGAGTCTTGGCAGTCAGTTCAGTCAGTTCGAACTGAGTTACCTGACTGATAGCAAGTCTGAGTGAGATCGTCAACAATATCAATACCAATACCGATATTGACACCATCAATCACATCAATCGATCAATCAATCAATCACGACTCTATAGATTGATTTGATTGCAGTTACATCAGCGTCATGATTGATTGATTGATTGATTTGAGGCTTTTGAGGGCGTACGGATGATTGATTGACAGATTGAATGATTGTTGACAAGTCTGCTATAACCAGATAAAGAGGCAGCTATAGCTAGAAAAAAATCGTCCGAGTAAGATCATGTAACATGATGAAGGCGTTACCAACTTCTTTCGTATTCATAAATTGGACCCTATGTAGACATCAAACGATGCTATCGTGTACACTAATTACTCATAACTTCAATAGCTTCTCAGCGTTCTTGTACGCAAACATATCCATATTTTCGTCACTCAAAACCTGCGCCTGCGCCAACTTCTCCACAAACGCCCACCCATCCGTATTCCTGCTGAACGGATAATCAATCGAGAACATGATTCCATCAACTGGGCTCACCTGTCTCAGCTGCTCAAACTGTCTCACAGTAAAGAAAGCGCTCGTCGTGCTCCAAATATTCGTACTCCACACCCGATTGAATGTCGTATCATTGCGCAGTCCCGTCGAATCGACTCGGTCAATGAACATTGGCAGTCCCTCGCCATTATGTCCAATGATCAACTTCAGCTTTGGGAATCGATCGAACAGGCCCGCACTATAAAGACGTAAAATTTGCGTTCCGACATCAACATGCCAGCCCCATGAGTTCGTTCCAAGTCGTCCAGCCACGGCCGCAGGGTAGTTTCCGGCGAAGAGCTTGGATGCGATATCTGCGGTTGCAGCCGCAGGATGCAAGTACAGCGGTACATCAAGTTCCTGTGCCATGGCGAAGACAGGATCGAAGCGGAGGGCATCGTAGTATGTTCCATCTTTGAGGTGATTCCATATCATCGCGCCCTTGAGTCCGAGAGTCGTAACACTGCGGTTCAATTCTATTGCAGCTTCATCCGGGAGCGACATAGGCAGCACCGCATAGACTCCGCAACAATCAATTCAATCCGGTCACTCTCCTAGACCCACTTACCTATCTAGGTAGGGCTTAAACTCCTATAGGTAACTACTAGGCTTAAAGCGGTAATCAATCAATCCAATCTGAACCTTCTAGGACCCACTTAATTGATTGTTGCGGACTGTGGCACCGCAAAGCCAGCGAAGCGTTTGGGCTTGCTTTTGATGACGGAGCCAACGGCATCATTTGCTGCGCGACAACCTTCGGGGTCTTCCAGACCAGAGGCAGATTGTTGGGAGAGGACTTGCATGGTCAAGTGACCGGCATCCATGGCGGCGATGCGACCGGTACCGATATCTTTCAGCTTTTCGAGGATACCAGGGTACCTCTGAGTTATCCCTTCAGCGACTACCTCAGCTTCTAGCGAGGGCGAGGTACAGTGTTCTTCAAGTGCGAGGAGGCGCTTAGGGAGGTAGGGGGGTTTAGAACCCGAGGGACGTGTAGGTATGCCATTCGCACTAAGGGCAAGGACGAAGATTGTACTGAGATGGGCAATATGCATATTGGGCAGACAGACGATGTACCTATTTAGAAGTACCACATGGGCATGATGGAGACTATATACGCATTCGCGTTCGCGTCCACGTCTAGGTCGACTGCACAAGCACCACGGTAGTAATCCTACCATTCTTGTGTAGAAATATACCCTGTATTAGCGCATCGTTCAGCTGTATGTGAAGAAGCCTTATGCAGTTTTATATCAGATCTGTAGTGCTCCGGTTGGTCATTTTCTCCATCTACCTATGTGGCGTCCTCAAGCGAGGCGTTAAAGTGACTCGTGGTGCTGGATCTAGATCGTGAAGGAGTTGACTCCGCGGAAAGCGACGATAATTGCACGAGGCTTACATGGAGAAGTGGACGATTTGGGAAAAGCACCCGGGGAAAGCGGCGAATCCTATACACGACCCGCGAAGTTCTGGTCGAAAAGGAACTTGGATTCTGCAGCTCTTCAGTAGCTGTAGCTTGCTTGAATTTGATATATATACAGGTGCTGCAGCTGCAAATAAAGTTTAAAGGTTGATAAAAACAAAGCGAGTGGTCATGACATGGAAGATATTTCCGGTATTGCCTAATCTCGGGAATGCTTACTTCGTCGAGACGGTGCAACGGGTGCTTGCTTCCGACAATGGAAATAGGTTGCGTGTAACGCGGGATGTGTGTAAACTCATGTTGGAAGGTACGCGCGCCTATGCACACATTCCTCAGATTAGGAAACACGGTTGGTGATGACATAACAGCAACCCGGCTTTTCAAAGACCTCTATTACCACAAGATTTTCTTCGACGGCGATCAGACATGTTCTTTCGTTAGTCACCGGTATTTCCAAGAGTTTGGATCAAATGAAGTCATGTTTGCGCGTCTCCAGGTTCAGACGCCGTTGGTACATCGCTAGGGTCCCCATCCTAACGGGTCCTTCTGCACACGCTGCACTGACGAGTACTACTTGTCAACATCTACCAAAATTTCGAAATAAAGCCATTCAGCATAGCGAATACGTGAATATAAGTGCAGTCAGTGCTGGTAGCATTGTTGGCAAAGAAACAGTGCTAGTAATACCAGGGTGAATGATTAAGCCACGTGATCACCGTTCGAAACTGAAGGACCTTACCTACGCTCTGTATAACCCAAGCCATCAGAACAGCTGCAAAAGTTTTGAGATTTGGGTCGTCATGCCAAGGAGAAAGTTTGCATGTCTATGATCGCATACCGAAGATTAACATGGTAATCTGTCTTTGGTACCTCGCAAAAGAGGAATAGAGGAATTTTAAGATTACCATATGATACTGAAAGGTGAGTTCTGGTAGGTCTGCAGTTGCTACAGGGCCCGCTTTCGCTTATATGACTTTGGGTCGCCTGATAAATTGTGGACTGATAACTGCATACCCACCATGGAAATGTGTGATTAGTGAAGATCTATTTTGTGTGTAGAACTTATATAATGCTCTAAGCGCCTTGAAATTCCACTTTCCACCTCTGGATATCTAGACTTCCGATACCTTCGCTTGTACATCCTAACCTCACGTATCCGCAACTATCACACGGTGTTCAATTATGGAATCAGCTCCTACGACCCGTCAGCCATTTCGGTTCCTGGATCTTCCCGCAGATTTACGTTTATGTGTGTACGATTTTACGCCTTTCCCTACTACACGGTACACCCTGGAAAGAACAGACGCCAAATTTTCGACAGGCTGGTGGCCAGCTCCTCCTAAAAGCTAGGGCTACGAATCATGCATAACCCTCATCAGGCCGTCCCCTCCACTCAACTTCCTGTTAGCCTGTCACCTTGTGAACAAGGAGGCCCGACCAATATTCAAACGCAAAATGAAGTACTTTATATTGCAGCCAGCACGCTACCTTGTAGACTGGAATGCAGCGTGGGCACTTGTCAGCAACAGAGGTCGAATGCCACCCTGCGTTGGTATTGCCACTGCATCCGGTGAGAGGCCTCCTGCAAACAAAAACGTCCTAGACTTTGTGAGTCGTTGTGAAAGTGCCATCTCTGCAACACGGCAAACACGGAACTCTCAGAGCGTACAAGCCATCGAATTGACGATAACTCACCGAAACGGCGGAACATACGAAAACCAGGTCGAAGGTACGACATCGGCGTTCTCGTCACTCGATAGAGCCCTATCTCGATCCGCAAGCCACTATACTCGGCCTACAGTTATACGCAACTCTCAGCTTCCGCCAGAGAGCTCTTATGTCGAAAGCGATAGCTATAATAGCGGCCTTATGTGGTACTATTACCACTATAATGTCATACCAGAAGGACAAAGTACCCAGACTAGCTCTGAACTCGGAGTTTTTGTGAAGAAGCTCGACGAGCAAAGTTTCGAAAAGCACGAACAGAGCTTGGAATGGTACTAGTGGTTAAAAAATGGCGGGTCTGAGTGGGTACAAGATAATATGGCGGGTAGATATCGGCAAATCATCTTCACTGGTGCTCAGCGACCAATTGGACCAGCGTGGGAAATCACCTCACCGAGACGCGAATGTCGTTACCTACTTTTGTGGATCGATTCGAACATGAATATATAAAAAGAGTAAGCGGTTGTTTTCGGACAGTGATCAAATCGTAGCTGTAGCCCGGAGAAATTGTTATTCGTGTAGAAGCGAAGTTCTGGGTTACCTCTGCAGCAGTACCATGGTACTGCTGCGCACGAAAAGGATGCATAGAGCTACAGCTAGGAAATGAATCTATCATGACCATCATGCTGAAAATTGCGACTTGTGCGTTGCTTAAACCTTCTCAAGCGAAATATACCTACAACATGAACACACTATGTGCCCAAACCCCAATGACGAAATGGATGGCGAAATGTGATACTGTTAGACTTATAAAACACTGTAATTTGTCGAACTAAAGGGTTTTATATGGTAGGAAAATACTTTGTAACGTCGCAATCGATTAGTAATAGCGTGTTATTTTAGATCCGTTAGTTGTCGTCATCGAGGAGCGTGATATCAGAGTGATAGCATTCAGCGACATTCACCTTGATCATCGAAAGCAGAACGCGATCATACATTCAGGTGGTAGTGTTCAAAGTCCATCTCGGGTTGACCAGGTACAAACAAGTTAGAACGCCTTTCCCTATGCATATGGTATCTGATTTTTATTCCTCACTGCCTCAAACAGAGAAGCCATGCTCGTCCTTTCTAGGCCCCAGTCCTCGCTTGACGCCATCTTTCAAAACCTCCCAGTTAATGCCATCTACCCTCTTTCCGCGAATACCCGCATCAGCTGCGACATCAGCCAGCTTCCCTGTAGCAATCCTGCGCATCATGACGAGATCTTGTGCGCCTTGGAACGTCCGACCCCGGCCTTCTGTGAGGAACTTCTCGATAAATTCCTCTTCTTCTGTGGTAAAAGGCAAGCTGACTAGCTCGAAACATTTGGCCTCCCGCGTGTAGAGGTCTCGTTCTGGGCCCTCAACCCAAGCGTTCTTCTCTAATGTCTGCTCAATGAGAATCTCCAACAACGGCTTCTGCTCGTGCTCTGGCCGGCTGTGAATCCAATCGTACATCTCCGCCACATTGCGATCTGTGAGGTACTTGGCGAACTCGTTCCTGACACCCGCGTCTTCTAGCGGTGGCTTTACACAGTTGTAGTATGCGAGTGCGAGTATATCATCTTTGGGGTCTCTGGACATGCCGAGGCTATTCAGCCTGTCCCTTCCTGTCAGCAGCGTATGCATGATCTCGTCGGGGAAGGTCGGTATTATGCTCGGGTATGTGAGACGTTCCACTGCGGTGGAGAATTGGAAATGGTCGAGGTACCAGAGTCCTTCAACAAACGTCCAGAAGCGCTTCTCGAGGTGTACATCCTTAGCGAACGCCTCGGAGAGCTCTGTAGGTTCATGGTGTTGTCCAGACAGGTCTTTGAGCAGATAGAAGACTAGGCAGTGCTTGTTGTGTAGCGTGGTTTCGGCGGTGACGATGCGCAGGTGCAGCTCATGGAGTTGCTCGGGGCCCTTCGGCGGGTACATCTTGCTGGCTGCGCGCGTCATGTGAGCGGTTATTCAGTAAAAAGTTAATAGAGAACTTACCCTTGATCTTGAGCAGCATCAGTAGCCGCTCAAAGAATGTGCGTCCACCGAGTGCAGCCCTGAAGGATTGGATTTCTGAAATTAGACCATCTTTGTAGTAGAGCCCCTGGAAAACGCGATCGAAATCTTCTACGTCCTTCATCTTCGCGACTGGATTGGGATTGGTGTTGAGTAGATCGGGTGCGATGCGCGTTGGTTTGTTGGTGGACGTGCCGTGTTTGCTGTGTTTGGCGCATGCTGGAATTCCAGGGTCTCGCGCTGTCATGTGAACCACGCCTTGGCGTCACTCACCTACACCCTCAACACCGTGTTTCAATCAAAACGCAAATATGTGTACATCCTGCAGTTCCTTACTGGTCATTAAGCTTACAGTGACCTCGTTTGTTTCAGATATCCCACCGCAAAGCCTAGCAAGTTTTTTTCTCCATCTGTGTTTATATCACAGCGCATGCGTCACAGAAGTGTGCTTCGGCTGCAATGTTTCTGCTGAGATGTTCTACGATAGCCACTTTATACTATTTGGGTTGTTGTGCTCCACTAGCTCCACTATCTCGTTCCGATCACGAGCTTCTACAGCCAAATAGAGTTCAAAGAATATATCGCCGGGTTGGACGGATGGGAAAGCGGACAGTACGTGAAAGGCATCGAATGATCCCGTACTCGCAACCTTTTACATATCCAGCTAAAGATAACGCTTCGCCCCTGTTGTACGCGTACTAGTCCCAAAGTATCCATGGATAACAACACCCTCGATAATGTGACTGCAAGTAATTTTTTCGAGAACATTTGGTAAGCCCTCAAGTTACAAGCTGGTTCATATCTCGACTGGGTAGGATGCTCATGTGAAGCATCAAGGCATGCAACCACTTTGCAGATGCGCTTGTTGGAATGATGAACAATCGTACACCGATATTCCTGATCCCCATGGCACGCTGAGTATGATGAATTGAAACGGTCGTATGATGTGACGGGCATTATACGAGGGGGCCTAAACGGTGATAGCAGATATCGGAATCCGAAAAGCCGCTAAGCGCTAGGATGTTAAGTACTCCAGAGCCTTGGCGGATGAATTGAGCATCAGATGATGATCATTCTCTGTCCAAGTAGGTAAAGTCCATATGTGCATAGGTGACACAGCTGTCGTTCACCCCACCACTTCGGACTTAACACCTCGCCAACTCACTGTACTGTATGTACAATACCCGATACTGTGCGTTGCCCGCGTTAGCCGATTCTCCAAGCACTAGGCAGAAACTTGGAGGTAATTTTTCTGACCTGATGAGTCAAAGACAGGGTTACAAAGCTGAATGATTTAGGTAACTATCATCGTTGGCATCTGACGTAATGTTTGTCTGAGTGGATTCCGGACAAGGACGCCGAAATACGGCGTCGCATCGCAAGTACAACTTCTTTCTGTTGAATATCGACCACTACCAGTAAAGACCGGCGGTATGAAAACTTGCATCCTTTTCCGTCACAATGAGCTACACCATCTCAGCGCGGAAGTGGCCGGATGACAAGCATGAGCAAGTATTCAGGATCGGTGCCATCTCTTTTTGAGCACAGCGTGGGAATGTATCCGTTAGTTGGCGTGCATGGCCAAGCTCGAGCAAAGCTTAACATGATTAGAGATATGGCGCAGGTGACGCTGATCCATGTACAAGCCAATGACATATTTGACGGCTGTGGCTCGGACGAAGCCTGGAGTTAGCCTTGCTGGAATTTTGCACAAAAAGTGAGCTAATCAGCTGGCCGGCGTTAGCTTCCGGTGTACCCTGGACAAGCTGCTGCAAGCTGCTAGTGATTGCATGTAAATCTTCGATGCCAACAACCTCATGTGAGGGTTGGCGGAAGACGGATGGTCGCCTCACCGAGAGCCGATGCAGGTGACTGCGACTTCGCTTGTCCTTGTTCCAAGCATGGCGTGATGTACAATTTGCCATTGCCGTGGAACAAAAGTGCAACTATCGGTTGCTATCAGGCCCAAGGGGGGGCTCATAGATAGTGTTTCTGCTGTCATGATGAGGTGCAGACAGATGGATGCGACTAGCATGGTGAAAGAATGCCATTAGCGGTGACTACCGAGAGGCCCGTCGCGGCGGCGATTAAGTCCGAGCTGGCGAGGACCCACAATTGCACCTGACGATCGATGCTGGGCCTTGGACGTCACAGCCATGAAAAGATCGGAAAAGCTTCGCAGCTTACAAACGTCTACGGTCATGAGCTGGTCAAACTTGCAGTTCCGAAACTTCCGAAAACAATATACATGCGAGCCACGCCCAGTTGGTTGGCGGCCTTGTGTCAAAGTACCTTTTATACGCTTTCGTCTCCTACTCCTTGAACTGATCTTGAACGACTCTTTATTCCTACTGCGCATACCTACAAGGCGCGTTTTCCTTATACAGTTATCCTACACGGTCCTAGTTCCAGACCTCTGAGACTTGCGCCCACGCTTTACTCTAACAGATTTGACCCTGCGAGACAACATACATGCCGCACCGTCCAGGAGTGACGATAACTGCCACGACACTGCTGCTAGAGCTCTTGCCTTTGGCAGCTGCACATGGTCATGGCGATGGAATGGATATGAGCGCACATGATGCGCAGCCAGCACAACCACAGGATAATGGCTTCGGTGGCTACTGGAGTCTTTCTGAACACGCTTCGCTTATGTATTGGCATATTGGCCTTGAGATCCTAGCTTGGGTGGTGGTTCTGCCAGTTGCCGTCATGTTCAGCGTTGCGCGCTCGCGCTTCACGCTACTTATGCAATTAGCCTTCCTCGCAACAAACGCCCTTGCCCTCGTGCTCGGCATCATATACGACCACAAGACACCAGAAATGTACGAAGGGAATGCCCACAGCAAGACAGGATGGGCCATCACCTGGATCGCGTCGGCATGGGTATTTTTGGCCCTGGTCCAGGCCTACGCCGGAAGGTCGAACACGCAGTCAATCGAAGACGAATTCACAGAGCCAATGACAACCGTGAATATGCTCAGATATCAGCGCGTACAAAACCAGGAGCTTCCAGATCCGTCCCGCTGGTCGGACGACTCAGGACATGGTACCGAGCGCAACTCACTCTCGCTGCATGATGGCTCTCAATCCCCGAGTGTCGATTCGGAGAGCCAGTTTGTTAACCCAGCACGGAGGTATACACACGACGATTCTTTTGGCGACAGTGACGATGAGAAGCGCGGCTTCCTACATAACACCCCTGTCGACAAGTTTTTCTCTCGCAACGTAGCTCGCTTTGCCGTCGGTCGGACCTTGAAAGCGATTCGAATCTTGTACGTTGTCGTCGAGCGTACCATCTTAGTCCAAGGATTTTTGGCCATCGTTAGCGGTGCTGTTGTCTACGGCGGCATTGGAAGAGGTGGTGCCATCTTCAACGTCCTGGCCCACACAGTAAAGGGTGGCATCTTCTTCCTCTACGGGTTCCTTACACTCGGTCGATGGATGGGTGCATTCGCGGATTTTGGGTGGGCATGGAACGTAAAGCCGCCAAAGGAGGTTGTCGGTCGTCGGCGGGCGGCACTGCCTTCGGCAGAATTTACCGAGTCATTCGTCATCTGGCTTTACGGCTGTACAAACGTGTTCCTAGAGCACCTGGCTGCGTGGGGCGATGCATGGACTGCGCAGGATCTGGAGCATGTCTCGATCTCTATAATGTTCTTTGGTGGAGGTTTGGTAAGTAGAGCTCTCTCACCCTTGGCAGTTAGCGTGACTAACCTCCCCCCTAGTTGGGAATGTGCATTGAATCGACCAAAGTGCGAGAGCTCCTAAACAGCGGCGTTGTCGCCTCGCAGGCAGCCTCGGTGCAGCACGAAGCGTGGCAGGAGCCTCGTCAATATCGGTTCTCGATGAATCCTTTGCCAGCGTTGATTATCATGCTTCTCGGCAAGATGATGAGCTCACACCACCAGACCTCGATGGTTTCGACCATGATACACTCTCAGTGGGGCAGCATGTTCATGGGCTTCGCTCTTGCGCGTGGTGTCACCTACATCACCCTCTATATTTCACCACCCACCTCATTCCTTCCATCTCGTCCCCCAACGGAGATTGTGACGGCATTCTGTTTGATTGCGGGTGGTGTTACCTTTATGGTCAGCAACAAAGATACTGTTGCGGCACTTGAGTCATACAACCTCGATGCCATGTTCATTTTTACGGTTGTGATGGGTGTTACTGCGCTCCTCATGGCCTGGACTACGGTTCTTATTGCTATCAAGGGCTGGGCCTTGCGCAAGGAGAGCAACGGTCAGTACATGAAGAGCCATGCTGGAGTCTTGGCCTAGACGTTTGCAGCATTATTCCTGGTCTGATCGGCTGGTACATCCACTCGGACTTGGATTTCCGGACTTTTCATATTATACCCTCTTCTTTCCCTTTTTACGGCCTGGATGGATTCCCTATTCATGATATCACTGCAGTATACCCTTCTCCTAAGAATGGTGACGACCTGGATTGCTGCATTTACAATATTATGCGTTCTGCATATGGTGGTGGTAATGTAATGGCAATGGTTTGGAGCGACAGAGTAATGCCGAGGCCTGGCGGGCCTGGCGATTAGTAGAGGTCGGATCAACTGCGACTGTAAATATATTCGTAGCATCTTTGACCAAGCATTGTCGGATATTTGAGCTAATCAAGTATGGGCCTTGTCATTTTCATGAATACTGTACTCATCTGGGTATCATGCCAAAAGTCCCGAATGCCTGTAGCATACTGGGGACCTTATCGGGCCCCGCGCCCCCTCCCAGCAACTCCCCTAGCAATGCCTGTACCACCTCTTGTGCCTCTAGTTGCGCCACCACGAGTGGGGATACCCCCACGCCCACCTGCTCGGGGTATGCCTCCTCTTCCCCTCGGAACGCCCGATGTCTTTGTGGCGGGTGCTGGTGTTTGTGGGTTCTGGAATTTGGATGACATCTTGCTGCTTGGCGGATTGTCAACAAAGGATGTATCGGTGGTTAGGAACGTCGCTTCCATGTCGTCTGGGCCTTGGGATCGGTTCAGGTTCGCAGCTCCAGGGTCGGATTGGTTCTGTGGTCGCTTGAAGGATTCTTGTATTGGAGCCTAGATCAGACAGATTAGCCTTCGTTCTATGATATACATGTCTTAATTACGCACCTCAGGAAAGTCGACACAGAAGGCATTCATGTTCATGCCATATAGAAAGCCTGCAAAACTCTCCGAGAAGCGTGCCAGACTCTCATGCATCAACTGCAATTGCAGAAAATTTTGCTCCAGATCTGCCATTGCATCGCTCAACTCAGCAAAGCCATCTTGGAGACCTTCAAGGGCGTTGCCCGAGGCTGAAGCAGCGCGGCCGCGTTGAGAAGAGTCGCGTAATGAAGAGCGGGAAGATGCGCGGAGGGGTGTTGTTGGGCGAGACCGAGGAGATTTGCTACGTATACGCCTATGAGAAGGGGTTGTGGTGGGTGTGGTGGACGCCATAGGTCACGACAGTGGTTTCCGACGAATCTCTGGAGCTATGTGTTCTCTAGAAGCGACCAATTGCACGTTTCTCGACAGATGAATCGCAATTCTACAGTAAGACTTGTGCTAAGCTCCGACTCGGAGATGCAGTGTAATGCGACTTGGGAACACCAAGAAGTAAACATACCCCACAACGCAGGGCAATGTCGCGCTAACACAAATTAGGCGATGATGCCATGAATCCAGTTGCAATGCTGCCGATACTGCGCCTTCCCGTTACGCCTGCTGGTTTCTCGTGAACTCGTATACAGCGTGTTGGCCAAGTAAATGCTCTGAAGCGGCGTAACCGCCAACAATCATCACCGCCGTTTCCAACGCACAGTCGCGGTGGATCATAGCTCCGACCCATCCGGAAGGATCTGCTGATGTCACCCTGAGCAGGCGAGTCCTTGTCATAGCGAGGCTTCTTGCGATCTGACATATTCATGTTGCTTCGCGCACAGCCCCTCCGACGACTACCTCATACCTCCATAACCCAGCTGCGGACCCCTCTTTATCCCCCCAAACATTATATCTCCCCTTCCGCCCCCTTTAAGCCTAGACATCCGGTCACGCGTGCATACTCCCTAAGTCCTTTGCGGCCGGATACACATCACAAGAGCAGCGGGTTCAGCTTCTGGACAATAGGAGTGGTCGCTGGTGTTGCAATTGGCGGCGCCTTACTTGTACCCCTCATACAGAGCTCTCCAGGAGCGAAGACAGCGAAACCCACCTCGGCGCAATTTGAACTTGCTGATCTAACCGATTCGTATCTCGTCATGGCTGCGAAAACCCCCGCCGGGCGACCGGGAACCCTTACACCCGACGAAGAAAGGAAGCTGCGCGAGCTATGGGGGATTGTTATGAGGGTCTTCGGTGTGGATGCGGCAAACGGCGTGGAGGAGGTCACGTCACCCACGGTCGCTGAGCCAGCGTCAGATGGTAAAAAGGACAAGAAGAAGAGTCGTTTGAACGTCTTCAAGAGGAACAAGGGCGACAAGAGCGCAGATGACAAGGCATCTACTGCCTCGGACTCATCTACACCCTCGGATATTGGCAAGCTATCGATATCTGCAGATGACGACAAATTTGGTCAGACCGCAGAAGTTCAAAGGCGGCCCATTGCGAACCATTCCCGCGGACAGAGCTACGCAAGACCTTCTGGAGCATGGTCATACATGATCATCCCCGATGCGCTTCTGTTTCGGTTTCTTGCGCGCAAGAAAGTGGGACCGTGGAGAAGTCGCTGGTCATGATGATCTTCACCAATGCAGTGGAGACTGAACGAGATGCACGTCGACGACGACATCATGAAGATCGGTGAGCTGGGGGCTTCACAAAACACGAGCACTGAAGCCAAGGAGAAGAAGAACGCAGAGGATTTCTTGGTTCAGCTGCGGATGGGTAAGAGTTATCTGCATGGAGTGGACCTTGAGGGCAGGCCGTTGTGCTTCGTCCGCGCCAGGTTACACAAGGCTGGCGAGCAGACGGAGGAGAGTCTGGAAAGATTTACCGTCTACCTCATCGAGACGGCGCGCATGCTGCTGAGGCCGCCGATTGACACTGCCGTGCGTCACCCCATCCTGCAACAATTCTGAGAACAGTAATACTGACCCTGGCAGACTATCGTCTTTGACATGACCGACTTCTCCATGGCAAACATGGACTACACACCGGTGAAATTCATGATCAAATGCTTCGAAGCAAACTACCCCGAATCCCTCGGCACAGTGCTCGTCTACCGCGCCCCCTGGGTTTTCAACGCTGTCTGGAGCATTGTCAAAGGCTGGCTCGACCCCGTCGTTGCCGGCAAAGTCCACTTTGCAAAGACAGTGGACGAACTCAGCAACTACATACCCCGATCGCAGATCCCCACCGAACAGGGCGGTGACGAAAAGTGGGAGTACAAGTACCCGGAGCCCGTCCCCGGTGAGAACGACAAGATGAAGGATGAGGCACCCAAGCTGGAACTGCAGACGGAGAGACAGCAAATCGTCGACAAATACGAGGCTACCGTCTTGGAGTGGATACACGCTGGTGACAGCGCGTCGCTGGAAGATACGCGGAAAGAAAGGGATGCCGTGGCCGAACAGCTCAGAGTCAACTACTGGAAGTTGGACCCCTATGTTCGCGCAAGGTCGCTGTACGACCGCATGGGTGTCATCCAAGAAGGAGGTAAACTCGACTTTTACCCAAAGGCCCCTGAGCCCGCTGCTGCTGTTGCTGCACCTGCTACAGAGACGAGCGCCGATGACCTCGATTAGAAAATCTGTGCATTGTAATATGTACATTGGCATCGCCCCCGTCGCTCTAATGTGTCGTAGTGTCTTTCCTCCTTCTCTCAAAGAAAAACATAGAATCCTCTCTGTCTCGCTCATAGTCTTACT